TGTGGTGTACCTGTCTCTTATACACATCTAGATGTGTATAAGAGAACCGCTAGTACAGGGCCCCAGCCTTGCATAAAGTTTTCATCGCCACAAGCAAAACTCGGAGGCGCCACGCGGCCAGGCTCGCCGTTGAAAGAAAAAAAAATCGGCGACCTCCGAAGCGATGCGGGTTTCATGCTGACACCCGCGGGGCGATATGTGGTGTACTGGTGCTTTAACTGTTGAAATACAGACCCGAGTTCGAACTCCACTGGAAGCAGATGAGTGAAATGCTGCAATTCTGAATTACCTACAGCCGGTCCGTTCGATCATAATATCGCAAGGCTGTCGCCCTTTTTAAAAAAAAAAGAAAAGAAAGAGATCAATCAACAGCAACTGAGGCGAAAAGCCTTCACAACCACTCTGTCAACAGTACTATACACAAAGCCCCAGATATCGACAACCGGGCACAGAGAATTCGAACAGTACTATACACAAAGCCCCAGATACCGACAACCGGGCGCAGAGAATTCCATCAAAGAAAAAAGGCAGAGAAGCCCAACTCCGGTCGGGGTCCAGATCCCGAGCGAAGAGTGACCCAGTCTGAAAAATGTTCCCAATGTGTATGGAACTTTTTCAAAGCTCTTGAGGGGGCCACCCCCCCGCCCTGCTCAGTGGGGCTCGCCACACCACTGTCAAAAGGCTAGGCTGAAAAATTCGAAGGCCCCGACCTCACGCCCACTCACCAAAATTTGAGGAGAAGTCGATTGCGCAGCCGAGGACTGTGGAAAGCATCGGAGTCGCAGGCTGGCTGGGGATTCAACAACAACTTCCGAAAGGAGGTGTTGAGAAGCATTCTCTGACAACTTGCAAATTTTATTGCCTTCTCCAAGAAACTATCGAAAATCGTGTTCTCTACAGTGGTGTGGCGAGCCCCAATACCTTGAGTGACCATTCGGTGGAAATAGTCTGCTTGATGGTGAACTGGATTTCAGCTCTGATCATTGGCGGGGTCATTCTTTCTCCACATGGAACCGCGAAGTTCCGGAGGGACTGCAGAGTTCCTAAGGGACCACTGCGTAAGTGGTCTTCAGGCCGGCGGCCCCAGCAGAATAAAACTGTCACTCAGTCCGGAAGCCGGCTGCGGGATAGGGACTGAGCCGGAACGCAACCAGTCCCAGAACAGAGGAGAGATATCGCAATGCAGGCACACGTGTTGCCGGTCCTCCATCCTGGTGCCGCCTGCGGGATAGGGACTGAGCCTGAACGCCACCAGTCCCAAAACAGCGGCGAGGAGATCGCAATGAAGGCGCATGTGTTGCAGGTCTTCCATCCTGGTGCCCAAAATAGAGGAGAGAGATCGCAATGCAGGCGCATGTGTTGCAGGTCTTCCATCCTGGTGCCAGCACAGAGAACGCAAAGCCGTGAAGCTTTCGCGGGTTCTGGTCGCACACCACAGCGACGTTGGCGCCGCCAAATGTGTCATCAACTGCAAAAAGCTTGCCTGTTTTACAACAGCCAAGTCCATCAACAGTTCCCAGCATCTTGGGAGAGACAAGGCCAAGAGAGTGACTGAGTCTAGAAACAATCCAATTGACATCCACCTTAGGTCTTCACATTTGATAGGCCAGTCGAGTAGTGCGGCGATAAAAGGGGACAAGGGGGACTCTTTCTCAACTGGAGGGCCCAGCTGGCAGCTTCCCAGCCCCAGTCCCTGCGGTCCACCGGTAAGTCATGCGATGGCACTGCGAGAGAGGGGACTACCTAGGGGGACTCTTTCTCGACTGGAGGGCCCAGCCGGCAGTTTCCCAGCCCCAGTCCCTGGGGTCCACCAGAAAGTCATGCGATGGCACTGCGAGAGAGAAGGGGCGCACCCAATCTGGGTAATCAAGCACACAGACTGGAATCAGATCTGGGGGAGGGGGTATGGGGGAACAGGATCCACAGCAGGAGTCATGGGTGGCCCAATTGAGCAGGCAGGCGGAAGGTGCTGCGTTGCAGCAGGACGCTTCCACATTTTGATCTCCAGTTATTGATTCCACTCTCCATATATGAGTTGGTTCCCAATCAGTGTGGCGCTTGTCCCATCCACCGGGACGGATAGCAGGCCCAGTTCGGAGCACGTGTTGCCAGGATTGGGGGACAGCTTGCTGCAGGGCCTGCAGGTGTTGGGGCTGGTCCCAACAGCTTGCTGCAGGGCCTGCAGGTGTTGGGCCTGGTGCCACAACCCTGCCAGTGCCGGGGATAGCCTTTGAATCTGTTTCCAGTCTCATCGGCTATAGTCCAAGTGTTAGGGGAGAGGATAAAACTGAAATTCTGTCCCGCGGACATCTCCCCCGCACTTGCCCCCGCGCTTCCCTCCCCCCCCCAACAAAAAAACCGAAAAATACGAATCTGGTTCAAAACAGATCTATTTACAAAAGAAAAGAAAAAAAAACTCACCTATCATGTAAAAGTCAAATCTGCTTCCCACCCGGCCAGAAGAAGGCAGGTAACCGCGGAAGAGGGAAGGGGAGGGGGAAGGGGAGGGAGAAGGGGAAGAGGATGGGGGAAGGGCAAGGGAAAGCGGAAGGGATGAAAGGGGGGGGCGGGGGAAGAGGAAAAGGGGGAAGAAGGAGGGGGGAACACAAAGGGATGAAAAAGGAAGGAAGAAGGATGGAGGCGCACTACTCTCCATAGGTCACAACGAACAGGTCTTCGGTTGCCCACGGCCAAGAAAAGAAGACCTGCATGTTGAGAGCTATGGCGGGAAAACCTACTGACCTGCCTGCCCTTCTGGGGTCCTCTCTCCTCCTACCTTTCCCTTCTCTTTCCCCCTGCCCCGCTTGCTGCGCCCCTCCTCCCCCCCGCCTAACCTCGCCCCTCCACAGAAAATGGCAGGCTATCTGTTCCAGGTGAGGTGGTGTGCCCACCCTCCTCCTCCACTCACCTTCTCTCTTTTTGTCGCGAGATTTACTCTCCATCTTCTAATCTCCCCCCCTCTCCTGTCCTTCCTCCTACCTCTCTCCACCCCTCTTCTTCCTCCCTTTGCGCTCCTTCACCCTGTACCCTCCCTCCCTCTCTGCCTCTCTCCGCGTCTCTTCCAGTAAGGTTCCTCATTCCTCCTCCTCCTCCTCCTCCCTCCTCCCTCCTTTCTCCCTCCTTCCTCCCTCCTCTCTCGCTACCCCTGTTTCCCTCCCTCCTCTTCCCTCTACTCCGACTCATCTCCTTCTACCTACCAATGATAGCCGTGAAGGACAAACAAAGGATCGCCACCTACCCTCTCCCTCCTCCTCTTCCCCTTTCCTTCCCTCCCCTTCCCCTCCTCTTCCCCCTGTCCCCCCTCCGCGTCCCTTCCCCCTCCCCCTCCCACTTCCCTCCCTCCCTCCCTCCTCATATCTACCAATGCAGTTTCTCGTTCCTCCTCCTCCCTCCCCCCCTTATTCCCTCACCCCCCAGCTCCTCCTCCTCCTCCTCCTCCTCCTCCTCCTCCTCTTCCTCGTTCCCGTCTCCTCCCTACCTTTAGGGGTTCAAGATCACCTCTGAGCTTAGGTGCTTGCAATCCTTCGCACAGCATAAATGATACATCGTGGGCGTCCCATCGGCTTCAAAGATCTGCACGAAGGCTGTCTCCTTTCCCCCACACGCCTCACAACCCTTATTCCTTGCACGCGGAACATGCCTGCCATCGGGCCAAGCCCGCAGGTACGCAGGGAAGTCATCGCCGTAGGAGTGGCAGACGCCAGATTCCCGGATGGGATCCCGTCTACTACCAGAGCAAGAGAGGTTGGACCCCACTCCCTCTCCTCTCCCAACTCCTTCGTCTCCCCCCCTCCCTACTCTCCCAACCCCTCCTTCGGCCCCCCTCTCTGCGCCACCATTAGTAGGATCCGTGGCAGTGGCAGTAGCAGTAGCAGTGCCGCCGGCAGCGGTATCGCTTCTTCTTCTTTCGTCATCATCATCTACCACGTTCTGTCCGCCGCTGGCCTTCCGGCTCCCCTGCCCGTCGCCGCCGCCGCCGCCGTTGCTGTTGCTGCTGCTGATTGCTCCTGGAAGGTTCATGTATACCACCGTATTACCCTCCTCTTGCTCTACGCTGTTGCAGGACTTGCAGACCCGTACAAGCTGAAAGTCGTCGTTAACTTCATGATGGACCATTCCCTCGCACACGGGACACGTCATAAAGCTCATGCTGCGTAGCAGCTGCTGCCGCTGCTGAGGCTTCCGCTGCTGTTGATGAGGTTGGTGCCACGTGGCATCGTCATCCCCTCTTGGCGTCCTTGATTCTCGTCGCGATGACTCAGCACGTTCCTCCGACTCCCGCGTGGTAACGGTCGTGCCACGTGGCAGCTGCTGCTGCTGCTGCTGAGGCTTCCGCTGCTGTTGTTGAGGTTGGTGCCACGTGGCATCCTCATCCCCTCTTGGCGTCCTTGATTCTCGTCGCGATGACTCAGCACGTTCCTCCGACTCCCACGTGGTAACGGTCGTGCCACGTGGCAGCCGCTGCTGCTTCTGCTGCTGCTCCTGCTCCTGCCTCTCCTGCCTTGCCGTCCCCGACTCACGTCGCGATGACACAGCAGGCTCTCTCGACTGGCACGTCAGATAGTCCGAGCCACGTGGCAGCTGCTGCTTAGGCGGCGTCTGCTGTTGTGGTTGCTGCCTCTCATGTCTTGTCGTCCTCGATTCATTTTGCGACGACTCGGAAGGCTCGTCCGGCTGACGCGTCATAAAGCTCGTGCCACGTGGCGATCGCTGCACCTGCCGCTCGTCGGGTGTCGTTCTCGACTGCTTCCGCAATGACTGAGGAGGATCCGCCGGATTCGAAGACCAAACTTCTGGGGAGCAGTTCACGTCCCCCCCCTCCTCCCCCTCCTCCCCCTCCTCCTGCGCCCCCTCCTTACCCTCATTGCCATCATCCGTAGAGCTGGAAGGACAGTGAATCGGTTCCCACCTCCTTCCCTCCTCGTGCATCTCCCGTCCCCTTGCTTCGCGCTTGTTTGACCTTGACCTTGCCTCGCCTTGTAGTGACATCTGACGCCTCTCTCCGTTCGAACTCTTATTCGACGACGTTCGCGATGGCGGCTCACGTACCGCCGTCATCGTTGAAACAATATGCCGAACCAAATCTTAAACGTGCACACACACACACACACACACACACACACACACACAAA